GTCAATGACTGATCAAGCACTGAGAACATATCATCTCGCTTTCCATTGATTTGTATCGTGACCAGCCGAAGGACCTCCAAGTCAACACGGTCTCCTCGCTTGTTTGAGGTAAACATACATTCGTTCGAGTTGGGACGGGGTTCGGTAAGACCAGGATTTCTGAAATGTACTTCGGCCTGTTTGAAAAAAAGGTAGTGGTTCTTGTTTTGAATCCCTTGGACTCGTTGGGTGATGACCAGGTGGGGCTGAACTGTACATGATCTTGTCCAAGTGGGGGTATTGACTTTGAATTGTATCATGGCAGGTTCAAGAGAAGAAACTTGTAAATATAAGTGCAATCAACCTCAACAAGATGACTCTGAACCTCAACACCGTCCAAAAGATCAAGCAAGGTGCCTTCAGTTTTGTTTATCTGGCAAGTAGATTCCCCAGATTTTCAATGAGGAGGTACAATTGGCTGACTCAAATTTATGATAGCAGAGCCCTGAAGTCTTCCTGAACAGCTCCCTCTTCACAGAACTCTTTTTCAGTGAGGAATTTCAAGATATACTATCATTGGTCGTGGTGGACGAGGCTCACATGATCTACCTTTGGGGTCTGGTCGCATCAAGACAAAGTAAATCATTGATAATATTTGCTCGGCTGGAAGATCAGGCAGTTTTCCGACCCGGTTATGGCCACTTGGGGACAAGGCTCATGGCAACCAACAACATTCCTGTCCTCCTGCTCTCAGCAACATGTCGACCTGTGGCCGTGTCAGCAATCACAAGAAGCCTTATGCTACAGCCGAGTGATATAAACATGATTGATGGGGAACTTACACGCCCAGAGATTCGCCTGATTCGCATATCAATGGGGTCAACACTAAGCTCATGTGACGATCTACTTCCTATTTTTGCGCCTTTCTCTGTTACCTCTGCTGCCGATTCGGTACCCATGATTATCTACTCTGGCACCCGAAATCGAACATTCCAGGTGATGAAAGTTGTCAACGAGGCACGAGCGACCCCTTATCACCAGTATGACCCAAACAACCGGTTTATCCGCCGATACCACTCGGTCACCAGTGATGATGACAAGGCTCGCACAATGGAAGACTTTGGGGCAGGGAAGGTCCCTGTGATTTCGGCAACAATGGCATTGGGGCTTGGCCAGAATCTTAAACGGGTACGATGTGTAATACACATGGGCCGAGGCGACCCGGCGGCTATTGGACAGATGGTTGGGCGATGCGGGAGAGATGGGAATGTTGGGCTTGGGTTGTTGTTCATGGAACCCACGCGGAAGAATGGCCGGAATGCGGCCTCAGATTTTGATATGGAGTTGGAACAAGACGATGACTCACGGATGGATGCTTTGGCTGTGACAAACGTGTGCTTGCGGATAGCCCTGAATTTGGATAACAAGTAGGTCACATTCTGTGATGCCCGGGGTTGTATGCAAATGGGGGCTGATCATTCAAAATGGGATTATTGCCCAGGCTAGGTTATATCCCCCTCGATCTGGGCGACCCCAAAGTGGTACAAGAGAGGAAACGTGAGGAGGGGCTGGGTTTTGCCAAGTGCAAATGCTCAAACTGTGCACCAGAAGAGGCCAGAGTGCTTGTGAATGTGATGCAGCAGCTGACCGTGGCCAACTTTGACTCTGTTATGAACGACCCATCATCAATCACAAAGGACCCTAACATAGTGACTATGACCCGAAAAAGGAGAAAAAACAGGCCCAAGGGGACATGCAACTATCCCAAACACGTGGCCGAGGATCTGGTGAATCATTTGATACATAGCTTTGACGAGTTTTACTTTGCTTACTTGGGGCCAAGAGCCGAATTCCCTCCGTCGGTCTTCTTTGGTCGGACGCAAGCTTTGGCAATTGTTGACTCAATTGATCAGATTCACTCAAATGGTGCGAACAACCTGACCCTTTTGGAAACAGTGATTGGCGGGCAGACTTTCTCAGGACAGATTGATGCCCTTGGCATGGCTATGATCATATGGACTAATGGCGAATACTATCAACTTCACCTCCGCAACATCTCTGAGCTTGACCGATTTATCGAGGCCGAGGGCGTACGTGTGCGTGAGGAGATGGCGGCAGAGCTATTGGGTCTTCAAGTTGCGGTGGCCACTCGGAGGCAGGCGGACAAGGAGGCCAAGATGCTTCAGAAAGCTCAAGCGAAAGAGGTTGCTGCCGCGGCCAGAACCGCTGCTCGCATGCTCAGGGCCAGTGACGAGGCGGTAGAGAGGGCCCGATTACATAGCGAGAAGGCCGCCTACAAGGCAAGTAAGGAAGAAGAAAAATTGGCCAGACTTAAGGTTGAGGCTGACGCACGGGCTGCATTGAAGGCCGCGACCAAGGCTCAAAAGGATGCGGAACGGGCGGCTGAGAAGGCACATCGGCTCGGACTCAAGGTACCCAAGATGAAGAAATCACCTCTAGGCCGCGCAAATTTCAAGTTGGCTCGACAAGCCCAAATGGCTCAAAACCGCGCGGGTCGGAATAAAAATCCTTTGGGGGAAATCATTACTGAAGATACAAGGATGGATGATGGAATGGTCGTAACAGTTGAAGAGGCGCCCGAGGTAACATATGGTTTACCTGCTGAACTGCAAACAGAAGCCCAGGACAGCGTGGGGCCATCTGGATCCCTAGTGAACAACAAACTTTCCAACAATCACAGCCCCCCAAGTGACAGCCACAAGGCGTCTGATGGCCCTGGAAAACTCGCCAACTCAGTTATAGTCCAACGGAACATCCAGGCAGTCCTTGTGGGGCCTAAAGGAGCCAGACACTCGCATCCAAGAGTCCAGACAAGGAATCAGCACAATGTCTCAAAAATCCTACGTGAAGGACACAACAGTTCGGCCACGGAGGCGTCACGCTATGAAATGTTGAGGGGAGGATGATACTTTGAGGCTCACCAGGTTTGTCACATATCTTCTGACTCTTGGCTCTCGGAACTGGAGGAATCATCACTGACATCTTGATGGTCCAGCTGAGTTGGGACAGGTGCCTGTTTGGTTGAGCTTTCATCGTGGTCATACATGAACATTATGCCCTTTGAATAAGGCCGAAACCGATCAAGACCACTGGATATGAATTCCTTCATTATCTTTCCCATTCCTGTTGCATAGAAGTCATCAATAGCATCTGGTTCCCTCCCAGTTATTGGTGTCTGACCCATCCGCTCGCGGTTGGCCATCCTCCGGAAGTTATTAAATGAGTCAATATTTAATTTGTTTTTGTGTGATTGGTTGATGACCTCGGCCCCTGATTCCAGTTTGATGAGCTGTAACATGTATCGCAGCTGTAACAGTCCCCTCATTAGCCACCTATAACCTTAATGTGTATCATTTGCTTACCAGGTTGATGTTACTTGAAAATATATCTTTGAGACGGTCTATGTCAGTGCCAATACCTGAGTGGTTGAAGAAGTACTTCAGCCAATAGTTTTGACACCTCAAGATAGAAGTCTGTTGCAACAAAGTGGCCCGC